GTGAGGCTATCACAAATATGATGTCTAGTTCTCTGTAGTGATTGGCTTAATACATTGTGATGGATGAAATATGAAGCTTGATGGCATTTTATGAGAGTGAAATAAAGTTATGTAACCTGACCCAAGGTGACTCTGCATCCAGTATGTATTGAACAAAAAGCCTTCTCCATTGAAGGTTGAAACTTCTTAAACACAAAGAAAAAAAATTCTGTAACAAAAATCAGGGAACAAACAGAGCTGAGAAAAAAAATCAAAATTTCCATTTCATATTCTTGACAAAAATCAAAATATTAATTTTTTTGAAAAACAAAAAGTTCTGAAAAATTTCTATTCAAAGAAATGACAGAACAAAATATTTTGATATTCCTTAATAAAAAAAAATGTGTTGAGTGAGTAGGACATTAAACTGTCTCTGCTTAAGTGCTATGGTGACTCTCAGGAGTAGTAGTTGAGGTGCTTCATACCCTCATTCTTTTCTATGGGCTGAGCTCCCTGGCTGGACTATATCCTCTATGATGTGAAGTCCTGTGGCACCTTATAGACAAACAGATTTATTGGAGCATAAGCTTTCCTGGGCAAAGATCCACTTCGTCAGATGCATGTCTGACAAGTCCTGTGACTCCCACAATGCACCACACAATTTGGTAACATAAGAGACTATGGTACATAATGAGAGATGTTGTCTGGACATAGAACCTGCCTCACATGGGGTATACAGCAGGTGAACTACAACTCCCATGAGGCATTGTGTAGATTTAGGCAAATACAATTTAATGTCAATCTCACTTGAAATTTAATAAAAACATTTTAATAAACAAACTGAAATAACTCCGGTCGGCTGAGCCCACGAAAGCTCATGATACCATCTACATGTTTTGTTAGTCTATAAAGTGCTACCAGACCAGTTGTTGTTTTTTTCTGAAATAATTCAATTTGGGATAAAGCTTCCCAAAATGAAATATTATATTTCCTAATGGAAAACTGAAAGATTTCAGCAAAATTACCATGTCCCTTTTTGCAGAAAGGGAATTTTCCAGTGATAATTATTTTGACAGGAAATCAATGACCAGCTCTAGGAACAAGCTGATGAGTGCAGCTCACTTATGAGTTTACACAGTTATGCCCAGGGACTTCAGGAAACAAAATAACATATGTGGTTTTGCATGTCATATGTTACAAGGCTTAGACAAGTTGAACTTACATTAGTTTTATTTTTAAGACACAATTATCCTCTTTGGGCCACACTAAGACTCTCTTATCCAAAGTGCAGATTTACTTTATATATTCTGCATTGTTCTATGTACAGAATCAGTATAGAAAATGCTTTAGGTAAGCCCTACTTTGGACAGGAATATTTTGCTTCTAGTGTTAGTGTAGTATACATTCCTTTTGGAAAAATAATCAGTCATTTTAGAGACACTCATATAGTATTCGTTGTTGTTCATACTAGTCTTTCAATGATACTGGAGAATCTTTGGAATGAAAATGATTCATACAATACATAGCAATGTCCCAACGAGTCAAGGCTTACTTTGGAATCTTTAATCCGTGGTTTCTTGTTGTAAATTGTCATGTCTCTGTCCCAACCTATTATGTTAAGACCTATTTTAGCAATTCCTTAATTCACAGATCACTGGACCAATAAGCTCCAAAAGGTCATATTGGCATTCTTAAGAATCATTGAAATAATAAACCAACACAGCTCCTTTCTCTCTAGCACTAACAGGGATACAACAGTTTTTTATGCACAATTGTAAAAGATTCTCTGCACTACAATATTTCTATTATTTTTGCCTTTTCTTTAACAGAACCTATTTTTAAAAAAAATTATATGGTAAGCTTTTTGTGGGCTTGAGAAATTTACATCCTGGGAGTAATTCTCAGGGACAAAAAGCCTCACTCTCTCTCTCTCTCTCACTCTCTAGCTTTTTAATATATTAAATAATACATTAAAATAATAACAATGATGATAATGGATCAAATCCTGATGTTATTCAGGAAAAATTCCTGTTGACTTAAATGGGAGTGTGCCCAGGAACTAGATGTTGGTTCATACTGAGCTTGGGTGTTTGTTCATGCTGTTTAATACAAGACCAGTGATAAGTAAAAGTATCCATCCATCAGTGGTTTGACCAGGGATAAGAACCTTGAGACATTAGTCTGCAGGGCCAGTGTAGTTCCAGCTGGGCCTGAAAACATACTTGGTGTAGTCTCAAGAGAGAAATGAGGAGGAAGAATAGCTTTGGGTTTGATACCCATTCCAGATTTGGACTGACTGCTTATTCACAAATCTCAGAATGGCACCTAGTTGAAAATAACCCAGGGCACCAAGAAAGTTCTTGTTGAGTTTTTCTGGTTCTTCACTGAGATGATGCTGCAGGTGCTAACACTGAAACTGCCTAGTGACATAAGTGTCTCCCTTTGAAGATGATTCTTCTGGGTCGAGTTCTTGGCTGCTCCAGCCAGAGTTCTTATAGGTAGCTGATGACTTCACCCATATAGTAGGCCATACTCAGGAGCTACTGTTTAGAAAGCAGATTGGAGAGGTAATGATGACAAGCTTATTATGGGCTGATCATTCCCTCCTGTGATTTGAGACTGAGGCATTCTTAGCCCATCACACTTAGATATCTTATAACAGACTGCCCAAGGAGATGGTTTTAGAAGGCACTGATGAAGTGTACTCTTAGCTAATGGCTAACGGATTATGACATAAAAAAGAGAATGCTGTCTTATGCCCTGGTTGTGTAGGAATCAATGAAAGGTTTCTTTGCCTCTTCTAATGCATATTATAAGTCATAACAGCAGTATTATTCCAAGTAATAGAGAACTTGATTCATCCTGGAGGCTTCTGCTGGTTACAGAATTTACTTTTTTCTTGCAATGAAGAATATTGAAGTTACTTTGTGGGCAAACATCAGACTGAAGCTTGCTGTGTCCAGAGAGTCACTCAGTCTTTGAATGAGTTTCTACTGATGTTACTTGCTAGGATTTTGGAGGTGGGTGGGGGACTTCAGGCCACTCTCTGTGAAGTAGATGCATTTCCCACAGGGCTGTTTAAAGCCTGCAGGGAAGATAGTGACTCAGTCAACTGACAGTTTTGTCCTGTCTTTTGCAAAGATTTATTGAGGTGGTGGTTGCAGAGCAGACAAGGCAGTATTTGCTGACTTTATATTCCCTGACTTGGCTGTGAGACAGAGACTGATATTTTAGCACTGTTTGATGATTGGCTGTTCCTGGCTGTGGATGAAGTCAGTGAGCCTGACAAGAGTTGGCATAAGTCAGAGTACGTCTAACTGTACGCCTTTTTTGACAGAGGCTTTGTCGACAATACTACAATCAGTACTGCTGACAAAGCAAGCTGCTTTTTCGAAAGAGTCTAGACGCTCTCTTTCGAAAAGCACAGTTTGCATGCAATAGCGCCTTTTTTCAACAGAGTACTATAGAAAAAAAGCGTTATTCATCGTAGAATGAGGTTTATCGCCGTCGACAAAACTGCCGCATTCTGTCAACTCACTGTCGACAGAATGCGGCGGTAGTGTAGATGCAGGTATAGTTTTGTCGACAAAAGCCCACTTTTGTCAACAAAACCCTGTAGTCTAGACACATCCTCAGTGCCACCAGCTGAAGGTATGAAGTAACACACACACATAATGACCTATCTAGATTTTCAAGTTGCCTTTGATGCAGCTGATGACAAGATGTTGCTTACAAAGATGCTATCCTTAGACTGAATGCCTTGAAGGGATTTAACTCCTATGGAAGTGTGCAGAGGATGTTTATGGGCAAGTATCCATCTCAGTGGCTCTGTCTTATTGGGGCATTATAGAAATGATCCCCAACAATTTCCATGCCAACATCTTTCCCCAGAGGATCAGGACTAGCTGCCTCGGGCAAGACAGAGATAACTTTGCTGAAGCTGGAGAAAGCAATAGAAAAGATTGCAAGAATTCTAACATCATCCTTCATTGAAGTTTTCTGTATCTGTGAATCAGATTCACAAAATAGTCTCCTTAGAACCAAACATGCTGTTGGATACTATGTCACATCAACAAGCACACTTTCTCAATTGCACTAGGTAAAAGTGAGGTATATTTAGAATGTTGCAGTTGTATTTTGTCTGTTCTAGCCCTTCTTACTTTTGGCTACATCTAGACTACATCCCTTTTTCGGAAAAGGGATGTAAATTAGACGTATCGCAATTGCTAATGAAGCAGGGATTTAAATCTCCTGTGCTTCATTAGCATAAAAATGGCTGCCGCTTTTTTTCAGCACGGGGCTTTGCCGGAGAAAAGCACCAGTCTAGACGCTGATCTTTCGGAAAATAAAGCTTTTTCTGAAAGATCCCTTATTTCAAGAGGGATAAGGGATCTGTCACGGGGTGCAGCACAGTCCGCCGCCCCTCCCCCCCCCGGTCTAATAATCATCCAGCTGTGCACAATGCATCGCTTACTTTCCGGCCC